AGAGTAACTCCGTTATTAACCTCATCTTTTTTTAAAAAAAAACCCTCCACGCTAATACTTTGAGCTGTTGGACTCGCTGCGGAGCTGTGGGGTGGGTGACAGGGGCTGCCCCCGTTGATGCAGCGGGGGAGCTGTGGGACAGAAACGGGAGCGTCCTCCCCTCTCCGCTCGCCTCAAGAGCGTTTGAGGTCGTTTTCCAAACTTGCCCTAAAGCTCTGGCCTCGCCTTTGAAGGGAAAGCGATGAGAACTCCGTGTGGTGGGAGCAGGGAGGGAGTGCGGGCTGGGAGGTGACAACAGCGACGTGCCCGCTGAAAGTCGCAATGAGAGAAAGAACTGAAAACTACCGGGCAGGAGCTGAAAGTCTTAATGAGAGAAATAACTGAAAACTACCGGGCAGGAGCTGCAAAGGTGGGTGTAAGCAAGGCGTGGTGCACACACAAAATAGAAGCAGATAAGGTCCACGTGTCCAAATAAATGTGAGATATTCTGTGATGCAGGAGAGGTGTTAAAGTGGAGGAAAAAGAAAATCTTTAATGCTGTTTCGCTCCGTGCTGTTTCTTTGCTGCGTACAAATCTTACAGTTTATGTCTGGGGATTTAGTTTTAGAACAGAGACTAGCCCTGCAACTAACCAGCAGAAAGTGTCAAAGTGTATGCTGAACCTTGGCATTGTCACCATATCGAAGTCATGGACATCATTAAAAGGCTACTTTCAAAGCTTGGGACAAACTTGGGCCCCTTTTAAATGCCTTGATGGTGAAACCCCCTCTGCAGTTTTTGGATGAGGGTAGGAGAAGGAAGTTCGACATTCTGAGTATGGGAGAGTTATTTGAAAATAGAAATGACTCCCATGTGTTTATCAGTTAATATAGAGTAGGGGTTGAAAATAACTTACTCTGTTGGGCACAGAAAATTATGTTTTAGAACTATTTTTAGTGCTTCTTTTACTCTGCGTAGGAACTGTTTGACAGGGTGATTTTTATAGTGAAAACATTCCAGCAGATTAGGTCTCATTTTGCATCATCATGCTCTCCTCAGAGTATACAATCTGCTCCCTCCCTCTTCTCGTTTCTTTCTGTCCTAGAAGACAGGACAGTTTTAACCTGGACTAGTGCCTCTACCCTGTCCAGGCACAGACACAGGACGGCTCTTGCTCTCACAAGAGAGTGGGACCCCGGTGAACTCTTTATGGAATTACTGTGTGGCAGGAAAGTATCATGGACATCACAAACTGGGGTGGATGAAGCACGAAGGTGGTGTTGTACGAGTTAGTTTGTCACAGCAGGATTGTTCTCACAGTACGGCTTTTTCCTCTAAATTTTCTCACAGCGCTCTCGCTGACCACAGAGTTCGTTGATAAGTTTGTGATTCCAGGTTTTCCCTTGCTCCCGGCTTTCATGGCTGTACGTCAGCACCAGAGAACTTCAGCACCTGTAGCGTTTCAGCAGCATGTTCCTGCCGTCGCTTGTTCTTCAAGTTGTCCAGTGTGTTTAGACTAAATGATCAGATAAATACATAGTTGAGCACCGCACAGATGAAATTCTCTTTAAACTCTGGTCTGTTTTGGTGCTTATTTTTCCAAAGTACTAATATATTGCCTACTTCCAAACTTTTTATTTTGGTGTTACTGTCTTCCCTTTTAATTTGACTACTTACACGTCTTTGTTTTGTTTTGTTACAGTTATACCTGCGTGTCTTTTCTTTTTAATGCTCCATCTGAACAAGTGAAATGAGGCTGAAGATTTCACTTTTAAAGGAACCAAAACATATCCTTTGTCTTGGAACAAACCATAGAACAGCAAGTTAATGCCAGATAGAATCTTCTCAGAAAGGATTTCTTTATTGTAGTTGTCACAGTAAAACAGTTGTAAACTGCCTGTGTCTTTTTTCTTCACCTTGCTAAAGGCAGCATTTTAAGAGGTGTTGAACAGACTTTGAATAACACTTTCCCTTTAGAGGGTATCAGTGTTTTGCTAGAAAGTTTTGAGTTTTTCTTTCCGTAATTATTTATAATTAAAAAGCTTTCCCAGACAGTAAGTAGAAGTAGTAATATATCTACTTGCTTATAATAAGGCATGCATGTAGTGGATGAAATCAGAATTGTATTTTTTCAACTAATAAATCAGATATGTCAACAATTTCAGTACGACGTAGTGTTAATAAACTAACATATTTGAATGATTATGCACTAAGACCCTTCTAGAAGTGTAACCCAACATTTCGGCTGTGTTTCAATTGAAGTACGCATCATAATAAGAATTACATTTTTTCATGATACACTTTATGTTTTGCTGAATTTCTCCCAGCTCTTTTCTTGACACAGAAAAAGGAAAAAAAGACTCATTCTCTTTTGTAAGATTACACGGAATGTTTTGTATCAATAGTCTTCCTGTACGGTTCTTTCTGTTTTGTATAGCCTAGATGAGATATTTTCTAAGTTTGTTTTCAACAATTAAAATATTTAGACTTCCTTAATTTAATTAAACATAAAGAATTGGTTAGCTGTGTGGGATGGACTACAGCTGACGAGCTATATTCCTGCAGCGATGATCACCAGATTATGAAATGGAACCTTTTAACTAGTGAGACTACTCGAGTAGTGAAACTTCCAGACGATATTTATCCCATAGATCTTCACTGGTTTCCCAGAAGTACAGGTGGAAAGAAGCAGTCCCATGCCGAGAGCTTTGTTCTGACAAGTTCTGATGGTAAGTTGGTTTGAAATAGTTACACTTCCGTATCACTTTGTGTTTATGTCACTCAAATACAGGAGAAATTATTTGCAGTTAAATAGTGTGCGATAAAACAAACACCTGTGCACCAGGTGCACCAGTGTAAAACTAATAATTACTTCAAATTTCATCCACTGTCTCCCACAGCATCCTCACAGGTGAGTTTAGGAAGTGTGGGTTGGATGGAAAATTGGCTGAAAGGTGGAGCTCAGAGGGTTGTGACTGGAGGCACAGAGTCGGGCTGGATGTCCCTAATAAGCAGTGTGTCCCGGGGTCAGTCCTGGCTCCAGAACCTGTTCAATATATTCGTCCTGGAGTGCGTCCAGAAGAGCGTGGCCAGCAGGGCGAGGGAGGTTATCCTGCCCCTCTACCCTGCCCTGCTGAGGACACATCTGGAATGCTGGGCCCAGTTCTGGGCTCCCCGGTTCCAAAAGGGCAGGGAACTGCTGCAGAGGGTACAGAAGATGGCTACGAATTTGATGAGGGGACTAGAACATCTCTCGTGAAGAAAGGCTGAGGGACTTGGGGCTTTCTAGTGTGGGGAAGAGAAGCCTGAGGGGAGATTTTGTTGATGCTTATAAATTCTTGAAGGGTGGGTGTCAGGAGGATGGGGCCAGTCTTTTCAGTGGTGCCCAAGGACAAGACAAGAGGTAACGGACACAAACTTGAACATCTGAAGCTCCATGTAAACATGAGGAGGAACTTCTCTGAAAGCAGCAGAGCCCTAGCACAGGCTGCCCAGAGAGGTGGTGGAATCTTCAGCTCTGGAGATGTTCAGAACCCACCTGGACACCACCCTGTGCAGCCTTGCTCTAGGTGAGCCTGCCCTGGCAGGAGTTTGGACTAAAGGATCTCCAGAGGTCCCTTCCAACCTCCAACATTCTGTGATTCTTTCTCTGATGCAGTGTTTTCAAACATACCTCTGACAGCAGATACTTCATTTTTTTTTTTTTAGGTAAGATCAATTTCTCCCTCTTTTTTTTTTTTTTTTTCAATTTCATAGGTCAGTAGCTTTAATTACACCTGCACTGCATGCCTACATAGGTGGTGCATCGCTTGTGGTTGGGAGAGCTGGTGGCCAAGCTACTGAAACAGAATCACAGAATCACAGAATGTCAGGGGTTGGAAGGGACCTCTGAAGATCATCTAGTCCAACCTTCATCCCAGCACACCCAACCACTACACCACAGCCTCAAGTGCTGGATCTACTTTTTTTTTAAACACCTCCAGGGTTGGTGACTCCACCACCTCCCTGGGCAGCCTGTTCCAGTGCCTCACCACTCGTTCAGGAAAGAACTTCCTCCGAATATCCAATCTAAACTTACCCTGACGCAACTTGAGGCCATTTCCCCTTGTCCTGTCATTAGTAATTAGAGAGAAGAGACCAGCACCAGCCTCACTCCAGCCTCCTTTTAGGTAGTTGTAGAGGGCAATAAGGTCTCCTCTCAGCCTCCTCTTCTGTAGACTAAACAAACCCAGTTCAACAGCTTAAGTGTGGTGTGTAATATCCTTGTAGTCCATTTCTTGGACATGTTACAAGAGTGTGTCTTGCCTCTGGCTCCTGTGGAGTCTCGAATATCCCTCTGAAGCATCTTGTTCTGGCTGTTGTCGGAGATACAAGACTATTACATATAGCTCCACTGTACCGGTAACTGCACATGCACATCTGTACATCCAGAATGTTGTTATTTGCCCAGTAATGCTGGGCTATATATGATCCAATATAGTAGCTGCTGTGCTCCAGTGTACGGTTCCTCTTTTGCAGAACGAAAGCTGAAAGGAAAATTCATTCATATCCATTAATATTAGCGTGTGTTATGCTTTGGGAAGGGGCGAACGAGATGTTCCTCAGAGTGTCAGGCAATGATCAGTGTGAACTGAGCTGATTTCTGTGGGGTTTCCGTTCTTTTCAGACATTGCACGGAGGGATATTGGGAGGTCAGCCGGTGCTCGGAATTCCTTGTGTTTTTCTTTGTTATTTTTCTCAGTTTTCACATTCGTATTTCTAATGTCTTGTTTCTGTAAAGTTCTAAAGTGTATGTGTAACGAGTGAGCAGAAGAGCAACTGTAGTGAGGCAAGTCTGTTCATTTATTCAGTCAGGTTTCCAGTGTTATTAAAATAGTACGGTAGTATTTCCATGTTCTGCTTGAATAATGCTTTGAGACTTGATTGAAGAAATAGGTAAGGGCTACTCTTACCTTCATGAAAACGATAACTTTTAAAACTCCGCTATACAGTTTTTATAATTTTTTTTAAATATCACTAAGGTACGTAAGGAAAAGCATCTGTACATGCATTTAGAAGGGTTGAAAGTTGATTATTTTTTTCCACAAGTGTTGTGAAATTATGTTGCAGGAGCTGTACTTGCAGAAGTACTTTAGCCTGTACGAGAACCCGGTGTAAATTAAAAGTTCTGTGGTTGTTACAGAGCAGTGGATACTCTGTGGTAGGAAGATAACGTGTGATATGGTTTGATTTGTTGGAATTAATTATTTTTGCCATAACCAGGTCACAGGTTACAAAACCTGGGATATGTATGTTTTGTCTTACTTGAGTGAGTACTTTATCTTCTTTCTTGTTGGAACTTCCTAGCTAACTGTTGTTATGACTAAGGGATAGGCTCTTAGCATTCATCAGTAAACTCATCCTGAACATTCAATTTCTGGAGAAGTGTTCATGAGATGTATTTCCCAAAAACTCTTAGGATTTTTCCTTTTTTTTCCCTTCTTCTTGTTGTTGTAAGTGAAATCAAAATACAAACCAGTGCTAAGCTAACTCGTGAAACGGTAAGTTGAGATAAAAACTTAATGCAGAAAATTTCCAGGTTTTTGTCTTCTGGTGTAACTTAGCACTTTTAATAAAGAGAACTTAACTTGTAAAGTTTTTTATTTTTTTGCATTGCGAGTGAATAATTGCATTATAAAAGTGCCTGATGCTTAATTGCTATTTTCTAGAAACCTTACATTTAGAATTCTGTTTAACTATTACTTCCTCAGCATGACGTATGGGTAAAGCCTGCAATTTTCCTGCAACAGCTAATTCATCTCTATGATAAGGATTCCTGGAAATTTGCTGAATTCAATGGAAAGGGAGTACAATGCCTTTGCAGGATTGCATTAATTCCTGTTTGAACTCCAGATGTTTGTGAAAGTGGAGCAAATGTAAATTTAATCCCCTTGGGTTTTCTTCTGAGTTGGGTCTCTTGTGGAATATTGTTCTTTTACTTCCTGCTTAAATTGATCTTGTTACTTCTTTTTTTTACAAAACTAAAGAATATGTTCAGCTTTAAACTGGTTATTAAGCACAAATCATAAGTGAGTAGACCTTTTTTTCCACTTTTTATGATATTGATGGCGTTTAAGAGTCTATGAAAAGTAATGAAAAAAACATACATGTTTTATATTCTGTATTTGAATAGGCTACTACTCTTCCTCTTGAAATTTCTCCAAAATGGGGATGTCACACTGAGACTGAGGACAGCTTCTAGCTGCAGCACATAATAAAAATAAAGGAACAGCGTTTTACAAATCTGAGATGTAAAGTAAGATTAAGTTGAATCACTTCTATCTACTGCGAGTGTACAGCTAAAATTTTCCCTTTCTTAATTGTATATAAGGCAGTAAGTTCTAATTTGAAAGCCTCTCCTACCTCAGTGTTAAGCTGCAGAGCAGAAAGCAGAGAAATCCATGGAGACGTTGCGTTTGGAGCAACCTCTCCGTGCGACTGCAATGAAAAAAGCAGTGTCTAATGAGTCGCCTCGTTTGACTGTCGTCGGTTGTAAATCCACGTGTTGAAAAAGGAGTTGCAGACAAAAAGGTGATACCCGTGAAGACTTGGTCTGGCCCCGTTCTGCATAAGGATTATGATCCAGTTCTTAAATGCCTGATCACGTCTTTTCCCGAGGAATTCTTCCGCAGTGCCTAAGGTGGACCTGCTCTTACGTGAAACCGTTCTTTCCTGCTGGGCTGCAGTTTGCTGCGTTTCACTGCTTTGTGAAAGAAGGAAGAGCTTGTGGAGTGGGAAAGGTGCAAAAGATTGGTAAATGAGTTCGGTGTTTCCCCGTATCACAGGATTTTATCCTGTGCTCTGCAACGTGCCCAGTGTTTTCCTGAGAACAGCTGAAACATTCAGGTGCTTGCTAACTTTATTTTCTTTCTTTTTTTTTTTTTCCCTTTAATTTATTTTTCTCTTATGTGTTGCGGGACTTGCTTACAGAAGTATCGAGGTCTCCTACATTCTACCTGGGTTGGTGGGAACTATTGTTTCAATATACGAAGTATCTTTGAAAAAGTGATTCTTAATGTTTGCCGTTGGGTACCGAAAGCTGACCAACACCTTTGAGTTGGATCTCTGGGTGCATTAGCTCCCAATTTGCAAAGCTCCTTCCCCCACCAAGAGAAATGAGTGAAATAAGTTCGTAACGGCAGTGAAGAGCTCAGCCAATTAATGCTGAATACTTTAGGTATAAGAATATTCAAAGGCCTAGGATCGGATTAAGTATCCTGCAAAGAAACAGGTCTTGGCTACAGCTTGAACATGTACATTGTGAGTTGAAACAGAGGCGATCAGAAAATAAAACATACTTTTTTAATATATTATTTTAAAACCAGTCTTGACAATTTAATTGGTGAAAATAGCATTTAGCCATTGAATTCCTGAGGATCCAGGCGTTGCTTCTCAGACCTGAGAGATGTTCTGGAAAATAACTGATGCATTAATTATATAAAATAGATAATGTTAAAATGGCATCATGCATTACATGTATAATACCAGTACTGAAAATTTTTGGGAAACTAGAATTAAATGAGTGATGATGAAGTGGTCTTAGTAATAATATTAGTTCTGTGCATTCAGGAAAAGGTAGAATTAAATCACTGTTCAGAGTACTCCGGTAGATGTGAACATATGTGATAAAGAAAAGCATAAAAAGCTATATAAAGAAAAAGCATATAAAAGCGTATGAAGAAAAGATAAAGTTTAGTTGTGTATGTTACTTAAAACGGTGTGTTCCGATAAACTGATTTATGCAAACCTTCTTCAGCGTTTAAAATCTTTCGCTTGGAAATGTTGCATTTGCAGAGCCTTGGCCGGATGGCCGTGCCTTTTTGTTGATGTACTCAAAAGTCAAATGAAGAGCAAGTGTGACTGTATTAATTTGAATAATACTGCGGAGAGCCCTGATATGTGTTTCGTGGTTATTTCGTGACAGATCTACCAGAACGCCTTGTCTTTGGTTTTAGTCTGGCTTGGGTTTTCTGTTTTGTTTCTTTAAATTTTGCTTTGTTTTGGTTTTAAATTGAAGTGCAAAGTAAAACATGGGAAACTGAACCCAGTGCAAGTTCTTCCAAGCTTCTGACAGTGCCGAATTTTGCCATCATGGCCACTGTGATCGGAATGTGCGTTTAGTGATGTCGTGAGTTTTTATCTTCTTCACTCTGTACATACATTTACACCTGCACACCCATTGCTCTTGACAATGTGGTCCTTTACTGCGATAGTCAGGTATTTTGTCACCAAGGACGGCTTGGTTTATAACTGATATTCCCAAGCAGGGTGTTATTAGTGGGAAGATTATCCCATCTGAAGTGACGGGACATTTGCACACACGCGGTGGGAGGTGTCTGTGCTGCTTATCTCCAAGAGTTCTGGTCACTCTGACAAGTTAGATGTAATAATTTTAAAAGAATTTTGCTTTCAAAAATAGTTAATTTGAATCACTGAACTAGTCTAAGCCAGGTGTTTGTTCCGCCACATGTTTCCAAGTCCTTTGTCTGCTCTTTGGTCCAGTTTAAATTTGATCTTCCTGGATTTAAGCAACATCCCTCATTTGGAAGGAGACGCTTCCTCATGCTTCTGTTGAAATCATTAATAACTTTGGTTTTGGCTTCTGTGAATTTCCATAACAGCTCTATAACGCCAGCGGTAATGCTTCCTCAGCAACACGCTCAATTGTTCTAGCTTTTCCATTATCCTTTTGGTGTTGAGTAATTTTTCAGAACTTAAAAAAAACCAAAAACCAAGGGCTCTCCTGGGCTGCCGTGTGTCTCTCTCTGGCTGTTAGCTTTCAGACAGTGAAATAACATCAGGCAGTTGCGTCCCCAGAGAAAAACTTAGAGGAACATAAGAAAAACGGGTGGGCAAAACAAAGGTTGTGCATACAAAAAGTAATAACACACACACCCCGAAGTTGTAGCTTGTTCACAAGTAGTTCTGCCAAAGCTCGTTTGTTCGGGCTGATCATAGCTGTGAGCGACACAATTGCATGTTTTCTTTTTAATTGCTTTAATTGTTTTCTTTTTTATTGCTAGTTTCTTGGTTTGAGGGGATGTAACAGAAGATACCGCCGCTACAGTCGTAAATCCCGATTTGCAAAATTAGACACACGATTCATGTCTTGAACTTTTTTTTTTAGGGAAGTTCCACTTGATTTCCAAGGTAGGAAGAGTAGAGAAGAGCGTGGAAGCGCACTGCGGAGCTGTGCTGGCGGGAAGGTGGAATTACGAAGGAACAGCCCTGGTTACAGGTAAGCGTTCTTCAAATTAGTGTTTTGAGCACTGAAATGCCAAAAAGAGCTCTTTCAAAATAAATCCTTTTTGTTTTTTAATATGCGAAGTTGAAACACCATGAAGAAATGTAAGGGGACAAAAATTTAGTGTTAAAGAAAATTTATGAAAAGTGCTTTCTATAAAATGTGTAGAATGGAAGTGCTTTGCTCCGTGGGATAGATAAAGTAGAGTGCTTTGGAAAAATAATTGAATCCTTAACGTATGTTTGGAGGATTTAATAATAAATTTCATAGTTTGTATTGTAGTTACACTGAATTTGAATCAATAAAACTGAGTCTTAAGTGTTCACACACTGGTCTAGCTTGAAATTCTTGTGAGAAGAGGGAAATGGAAATGCAAAATCAACAAGAAAAATGGAGTTAGCAATAATAAGTTACTTTTTTGTGTCTTCATTATCACTGGCGTTATCATCACCGTGGTTAATTTGGGCACTGTTTGATTAAAGCTGTTTTAGAAGAATGGTGTCTGTTTTAATTAATGGGAGATCTAGTAAAAACATTCCTCTTTTAGTGATCCTACTTCTTAGATGTTATCCTGTGTACTTGAAAGTAAACATTTTTTGCTATCAGAGTGCTTCAGTGGTTTTGTGGATGTTCTGTACTTCAAAAAGGAGAATATTTGAGGGTTTTTCTTTTTCTTATGTTGCAAAAAAAGGTTGCTAAGTTGGTACATTTATATCCCTGCCCATAACGTTTGGTTTTTTAGCCAGCAAAATTTACTGAGACCTCAGGAGCATCTTGAATGTTCCTGTGCTTCTTTTTCTTAATTATTTAGAATGGTGTAGACCAGCTGCAGTCCAACTCTCTTCTCTGTGGAGACCTGGGAGAGTTATGTCTTCTTGTCCTAAATCTTTTGATAATTAGTTGCTTTTGGCATTTTTGTGGAAGAAAAACTTGACGTTAAGGGGAAGCTAATTAAATTTCTTGTGATAGGCTTCTCCTTTATGGGATTTCTGTTGGTGTCAGAATTTTCTGCAGCCTCCTGTTGATCCAGTACAGCTGATTTCTTTGGACAAATTCCAAGTCAGTCCAGAAGTACTGGAGATAATTTTGGATCTGCTTGTTTCCAGACTCAGTCTGACTCTAAAATGCTGCTTCAGGGAAGTCCGTCTGGCAAGTTCCTCTGAAATCCCAGAGGAATAGAAATATTGTTCTTTTTTCGAGACAGATTTGCCTCAGAAACTTCTCCAAAGAAAAAAGTCAGAATCACCTTCTCAATCTTTCTTTGTTGTTTGTTTTCGGTTTGGGTTTGTTGGGGGTTTTTTTGTTAGTGTGGGGGTTTGTTTTGGGGTTTTTTTTGTGTCCCTTTTATTTGGCAAGACGGCATGACACTTACGGGGAGTGTGAGAATTCATCACCATATCCAAACCGAGATCAACTACTCGGGTACTGCAGTTATCCTTTGAGGAAGAATGAATCATAGATGATATTGGATTAGTTAAAATATTATTTATGGCACTATTTTAACAGTATCCACTGTCTACAAATAAGGTTTTTTTTAAATTTATTTTTTAATACTTTTTAAACATTTAAAAGTGACATTGACCAGGTATAAAAACCTGAAATCTGGTAAAAGTTACCTGTGAATGGAAGAATGATGTTGAGCATCTGAGTGCACCTTTTTCCTCATTAATTGAGTGTGGGAGGCCTAAATGAAAGCCCAGAACTGTCCATTTTAAATAGAACATACCAATAAATACAAGACATACAAAATTATGCCGTATAGAATTTAATCTTTAAGCTGAGTTTCTTGGTAATGTGCAGTTTTGTTATAAAGTTTAAGCCTTCCAAACGGAGCCTTCGGTTATCTTCAGTTTCACCGTTTCTCAACTGCGAAGCCTCTGGTTTAATATGTCAAATCTGCTCCTACGCTCTTCGGACTCCTCAGGGACTCGTTTAATCGGCTTCTGGGCCGTTGAACTGTAAATAGATGAAGCGTGCTAGCAATGCTGAATGGAAAATACAGAATTTAGGATACTTAAATAGTGCTGGACTCTCTCTTCCCAGGAGCAGCTTTGGATAAGAAGACTATAGGGATTTTCAGGAGAGGGAGAGACTTGATAACAGAACAGTCCAAATATTTTTTTCCTTAATATACCCTTGGTTTTGTTTCTTAGATTTATTATTGCATTTAAGTTAATGATTTCTGTGATAACTTTGCAGTTGGTGAAGATGGCCAAGTGAAGATCTGGTCTAAAAGTGGAATGCTGAGATCCACTTTAGCTCAGCAAGGTAAGCTAATTTTCTTAAAGTTCCGTCAGAGCTTTTTAATTCGAGGTATTGTGAAATTTATTGAAATAACATACCCTAAATCTGGAACTAATGATTAGTTTAGTGATCTTAAGGCCTGGATAAACTTAACTAAAATTATGTGTAAATCATAATCGAATACAGGGGAAACTGGATTTTTGATAAGTGATTGTCATTAAAATAAAAAATTCTTCACATTAAAGGTATTGCAACATTTTTAGACAACAGTTTCAGTTTCACCCTAAAGATGAAACTGAAGAGAGAGGCTAAAGGATCAAAAATTTTAAAAATCCAGTTTTTAATACCAAGCCACAGACTGTTATGGTGAAACTGGAAAAAAAAACCATAAAAAATCTGTAAAAACATTGCAAGAATGCTTGAAAAGCATCGAAAGCCCTTGGTTCATCTATTTTTCCCGGTAACTAATTTAGCGTATGCACACATTCCCACTGAAGTGAAACGATCCCGGTGCTTAAGTTCTTTGCTGAACTAGGGCCACGAAGACCTAACCCTCATCTTGGCTTTGTGACTGCACTTTTATACATACTAGAGCATACTAGTTTAAATCAATTTAAAATCACATTATTGAAAAAGGGCAACAGTACAAGCTTCAAATACATATTTATACAGAATAGGTCTGGTATTTTTTAAAATGCTATTTTTTGTGATGATAATTTTTAACATTTTTGTGCTCTTTCAGTGAAGATACGGAGCTAGGTTTTGTTTTTCAGACTTCATACATTGAGATCATATGACCTTTTGACTTTTTTAAGAAACCACATGCACCTGGGGGTTGAGTTAAATGTCAGACCTTTTATCTCTTTCTAAAACAAATTATCTAAATTCTTTCAACCTGTTTGAGGCATTTTAACCACAGAAGTCAATGTATAATGTATTTCAGTTTGGGTAAGGAAGTTCATATTCAGATGTAATGTTTTTTCATGATTACAGTGTAAAAAGATAAGTCAACTGAACTACGTTTTTTTTTGAAAGAGAAAAGAAAGGCTCAAACACACACTTCACTTTTTCTCAGTTGATGTGTTTCAAGGGTTTGGTTTTTTTGCTTAGTTGTGCTTATTTGAGGTTCGATGAAGGTTATCAAGCAAAAAAAAGTGTTCTAATGTTAAATACACAAGCTGAATTTTCATTATTTCTTGGATTTTCTGGTACAGTACAAAAGCACAGCGGAGTGCCCATGCAGTAATTGCCATCTGGTATTGATATTTTAAGATAAGATCCTGTGAGGCTCAGAAACCCTTTAAATTTATAGGATCAGATTCCCACAGGCCCCTCTGTAAGCTACTGACGTACCTGGGATCAGGATAGGGTTCTACAGAAATTCCCTTGTTTAAGAGCCATATATCACTTTTGGGCTAATTTCTACTCTTCCATTATCATCTTGATAAATGAAAGGATTCCCATTGCTAACATTCTTATTCACATTCCTCTCTTTGTATTGGAAATAAATTTTTTGATGGTCCACATACCTACTCTGTCTTTGGATTTTTATTCAGTACAAAACCCCCAACATAAATTTTTCGCTTTTTTAGCTTTTCCTGTGCTTAAATGGAGCGCTCAGGCCACGCGTCCTTCCGTCATGCCGTTGCATGGAATAAAGCTCGTGTGACCCTGTAGCCTCTACTGCATTCAGCCTCCAGCTGGAGTATTGCTCTTCCAGCTGCACCGGTCTTTGAGCCTGATGTCACTTCTTCATCCTTAGGGTATCTTCATATTCTGCCTTTCATTCCTTCTTTTCCTTAAACTGAAATCCTTCGGGCTCACTGTGCTCAAAGTGTCGGTTCCTTTGGAGGGAGCCACACAATTGCCAAGAGTGAGATGGGTAAGGTACTGCAGGGCCACGGCCGAAGGAAAAGATGGCTCTAACAGCACTAATTTTTACAGTGCTTTGTAGATTCCGACGCCAAGATTGTTTGAGGTGAAGCCTCTAGTGTCAGTGGTGCCACCTGCACTAACTGAGCCTTTGTAGGCCAAACATCTGGTTCGCGGGACGGGTGCCTCTCTTGGAACGTCTGTCTGAAATTGCTGCTGCTGAGGTTCATCAGCCACTGGCTCTCTAACCCTCAGAGTCCTCTACGGAGTCAAAGGTATTGGTCAAGCTGAAAATTAAGCAGAATGCCAACGCGCCTTCCTCGCTCCAATCAGGATTCTTCTGCAGGGCCGTTTCTTTCGCTTAACCCCCCAGCAAAGCCGACAGCTGTGCTCATAACTTTACTTTTGCTCCAAGATCTGAGAATCTTCAGGGCAAGCAAGCAAGAAAGCAAGCCTTGTGGATCCTCCCTGAGTATCCCATTGCTAGAGCGCTTGCTTCGATCCTCGTCGTTATTCTAATGTCCCTAATTCCAGTCCTCATGGAAGTAATTCCTTGCAGAGCAGTAACGTTTTAAAGCCACCACATGACTTAAATTCTTACGCCATGAAAACCTGCTTTCTCGAAGAACATTTGGTGAAGGACATAACCCAAATGAAGGACATAATCTCTATGAAAATACACGTACATTGTGCAGACCAGGTCAGCGCTCTCCATGAGCTTTTTGATTCTCGGTGAAGCCGTGACTTGCCATTACAAAAGAATATCTCATTTATCATTTAAACATCGTTATCCACACGCCTGTCGTTTTTATGCCACACATTCTACCAGTTTGCTTCAGTGGATTTCTAATTCTTCGTCATCCTAATTCTTGCATCATTTGTCACCTGTCTTTCAAACTGAATTTGTCATCTAGTACTCTTTCAAGAACTTATTTTTCTCGAGTACTTCTCTTTTGGTCCTGCTGACTTTCTGATGGGCTTCCAGCGACTAGTACGCTGAGCAAGCACAGGAAGCAAAATGAATAATTGCTGTATAGGTTGCTTTTATTGGTTAACAGAAGTAAAATCACAATGGTTGTGATCTAATTATTTTTTCACAGATGTAAACAGTTTAATTGCAACATGTTTATTGGCAAGTGGAACTTACTTTTTAAGGGGCAGCTGCATTCCGAAGGCAACTCCTATTTTTTTGTACTGCCGAAGAGAGATGTAAAATTACCCAGATTAACGTTTCTGCTTCTGTGAAAGTACAAAGTCTGTTGTAATTTCTGAAGCATCTGCTGGGGCTGAAAAGGTGCGAGCGACTGCTCCATCACTCGCTCTTGCTCTGCCGCGTGCGTTGGCCACCGGGATGATTCCAGCAGGGATTAACATCTCCCGGTAGAGCGGTGAGACGTGAAGAAGCCCACCCCGCGCACTTCATGCTGACGTGCCTTCTTCAGATCGTCCTTCAGTCCCCCTTTTCTGCTTTTCTCAGAGACTTATTTTTCCCTGAGAGCCTTCGTTGATCACCGAATGCGATTTCGCTGCAGT